GGCAGAAGGTTTAGGGCTTTAGGGCTTCCATGATTTAACGTTTCCGGGATTCAGGTTTCAAGATGAGTCAAGGGTTTCAGAGCGTTGCGGCTGGTAGAGCATTGCATTTGGGCGTATAGTTTTTTGGGGTTTTAGGGGCTTCAGGACTTTCAGGGCTTCATTTCATGGCTGAGATGTTTTGGGCCGTTCGATGCGGCTTTTATCAGCTTACATAGCTTTTTTAAGTTTAGGAACTTTCGTCAGGGTTTTAGATTGTATTTTTTTTTCGGGTTGTCGGCTGTACGGCTTTGGGTGGTCTGTGGCTGTAAGAAGATTTAATGGTTATGCGATGTTGGGATATTTTGATTGGTTTGGGGATTCAATGTTCACTGGTTTGAGCGTTTTTAAGGCTAGTTCGGCCCTTCAGGGATCTCGGGTAAAAAATGCAGGCATCGCAGTGGGGTTTCAACCCTGCTCCGGATGTCCGTAGGGCCCTTGTCGGGTTCGAGGGCTTCTTGGGGTTGAGGGCTTGGCTCAGGGTGCAAAGACGAATGCCAAGGATAAAGCTCCCTTAGCTACCCACTTCTGCCCATTCCTGAATTCATTCGCCAGTAGCATGCCCGCACTTGCTTCCTTCAGTCCACGTCTTTTTGACCCGCCCGACAAGCTCCACTCTCCTTTCGCTCTGCTCTCTCCACTCATGTGATCCCCAGGCCTGCATCTCATCTCATACGACAACTCCCAGAATGAAGTAATTCCTTTTCGATCCCATACAGCTCCTGCTCACCGTCTAACATCAATGACTCCTCCCATATTCACCTGCTCATGGTTACGTCTCTTACTCCACCTACAGATCCGAAGGATTGCTTCTGACGCAAGCGCTGTCAGGTAGCTTCCGTTGACCCTGGCTAGCCAAATGGTAAATGGGGCCTTCCCAACCAAGCCACCAGCGATGTCTATTTCTTCTTAAGCACGAAGCCAAACGGGACCTAAACCTAAACCTGAACAAAAGGAGTCTTGCGCTCGCTGGCCCTAACGAAAAGTAAAACACAGGAGACCAGACAAACAGTAGACTAGCATGATAGCAGGTCGAGGCCAAGGTCATATCAAAACCGCCAAGCTAGGTACACTGTACTCTTAAACCGATATTCCGACGTAGTGCAGAAAGCGAAAGGTGCAGGTCGCAAAGGTAAGAAGGAATTGAGAAGGAACATGTAAAAGGCATCCATAGAATTTGTATTGATGGTGTTTCTTGCAATTTAACAATAACCAGGCCACAAGGCTAACGCAGCCGTTGCTGTGCCGTCCGTCGAATGCATGCTTCGCGGAATGCCCAGGTTATGATGTTTGGGATGACTGGAGCTGGCAAGAGTGCGCTTGGGAACCTCATTGCCGGCGCGCAGATTTTTGATTCAGGCGGGAGGAACTGACAAGATGATGCAGATTACATCGAGCGGCTCCGTCCTAATCCTTCAATAGTGTTCTCATACTTTCTGGAGCAATGAGCCATGCACAAAGCACACATGAACCGTTGTTATTGTCATGCTGCCTGTTCAGGTGATGACACTGCTAGCGTGACTTGCTTGTGAATAGAAGTTTCCATGACTCAGTGCCTGCAATTTTTAAAAGATGGTGAAGTTCATGCAATTTCGAGTTGACGTATACGCTTACCAGCCTGTTGTCCATAATAGCCAGCCGTCCACGATTTTGGTGAAGGATCATCATGCAGGAGCGCCGGGGTAAAAGGAGTTTTGAGGATGATCAGGAGACTGTCAAGTCACAACTTCCGATGGGACGTCCCGGCGTGCCAGGAAATTTTAGTGTTGCCCAGACTGTAGCTGGCTTTTGCAGTAAAAGATGCAGAACGAGCAAGTAAGAAAAAAGGAGTGCCCGTATTCACTATTGCGTAAAGAGGATGGGTTTGCTTCGACTGGAGGCTTGTAGAGCTTTGAAAAGTTCCCGCAAACAGACACCTAGAACCCTGAAAATGACTGGAGGATCCGCCCCATGGGCTAATGGACTAGTGGACTAGTAGTTTGTCAGCCCATTTTGTGCAAAAACTGAGATTACAAACCTGGATTCCATAATGAAGCTGCTTGGCTGCAGAAACTGCTTGAATTGGCATGGATGTTTTGATGGAAGTTGCAACAGCCAGAGGAAGTGTATACCCTCAGGAACTCTTAGACCAAGGGAGGCAGAATCATACCAATTGGACCAAGGTATGATGCTGAGGATGGGTCTTTGATTGTACTGGACACTATTGGCTTGGGAGACACTGAGATCGATCAGGACAAGGCCGGGCATTTTCTGCGAAAGGGAAAAGCTTTACCTAGCGCTCGAATGTCACAGACGCAAGGAGATGTTGTCTCTGACTTAGGTGGTTGCCAGTATCAGAGATGTAGCACTTTCTGCACTGTCGCCCGGCGGCACCTCCTCTGATTCCCCGAGCGATGACTTGCAGTTGCAGTTGCCCAGAAGACATGCTACTCCATGAATTCTTGAGCTAGTCCTGATTGAAGGAATGGTGTGGACTGTCTGCTGTACGTGATGCGCAATGCACGCATCACCGATGATGCGATCGTCACCTAGCAAACATTTGCTCGATGGTTTGGCCTGTCTGAGCTATCATTGCTGGACTGACTCCAAATGCAAGGCACGGCTTATCTACGTCACGGAGTATCTTTGGGGGGATGAGTCCTGGCTGGCACGAGGGGTTTCCACAGTGAAGGACGTGCAACGCAATGCAAACTTGAGTGCAAGATCCGACCTGCCTTGTTGGAAACACGTTGCACTTGTGCAGACTGTTGCGGGGCATGGGCCAAAATTGATGGAACATGTTTCAAACCCTGTTGTAGCATGAGATAAGCCAGCATCCCTGAGCGGCGAAGGCGATCGCCGCTTCCGCAAATTTAGCTTGCTTGAGTTTAGGGTTCTGAAAGGGGTCTGCTGTCCCTTTGCTGCACCAGAATTAAAACTGTAAGCCCAGGAAAGCCTTCTAAACCTCTACATAGTGGTCACATGCGCCAGCAAGTACGCTCGGAGCCGCGAGGATGCAGCAGCTTGGCTAATTTTGAAGCTTGCGCAGCCACCTAGAGAGGTAGACCGGACCACTGCCAAACTGTCTGGCTCAACAGCCTTGTCTGGCAGGCACACTCCGTAGCAATGTGTCTTGCATGTTTGGCCCAGAGGCCAAACTAGCCTCGCTAACGTCCGAGGAAGATTGGATCCAGAGACAGGTGGAGATCAACTGGCGATTCAAGCACATCTATTCTATTGTTGGGAACAATCCTAGCAGGCAACGGGAGCTTGGTTCCATACAGAGTCCCTTGCATTGGCTACGATAGGTTCATCTTTGTGGACAATCCCGACCCTGAGTCGCAAGAGCCCAACTTGGCAGAGAGCTTCTCGCCTGAAGGTCTTATGCACATCATTTGGCCCGCCTTGTGGCATGCTTTCTTCATGCAAGTCTCCCCCCCAAGGACGGGCCAACAGCCGGGAAGCCTTGTTCAAGCTTTTCTGCTTCTCGCTTGCATGCCAGCAGACAGCAGGCCACTGGCCACTGAGCCAAGACAGGAAGCATGAAGATTCGCTTGCTGTTAGTTGCCACTCCACACTTTGACGAGCTTTGGCTGCTGGCATGAAGACTGCCTGCGATTTGAGTGCTGAGGCACACACCCTCGGGAGGCCGTCCCGCCATTTACACAAGAAATGATGAAGCAGGCAGGTTCAGAAGTGGATCCGCCCTTGTTTGAATTGCTTTACCAATTTCCTTGCGAGAGTCCATCTTGCGTAAGTAGGAAAGCATACCTGGCAGCTGCATAAATGCTTCCAAGCACAACTCATATATAACATGCTTTTTCGCGGTTGAAAAGAGTAGCAAAGGCGTCACTTTCACTGGTCCTTCGCTGCAAAGTCCAATCTCTGCTAGCGTCAGCTGCAGGACAAGTATCACAGCAAAGGCTAAGAGCTTGAAGAAACATGGGCTTTCTTTGAAGTCAGGAGAAGATACCACAAAACACAAAAGAGAACAACCACGCAGATGTGATTGTTTCAAGCTCTTGTTCAGGTTCAGGAGTTGACCAAGAAAGAGCGGGAGGAACTCAAGCAGAAGGAGCTTGCTTTCCAAAAACCTGCAGCCAGATGTGAGCAGACTTGGAAGCTTTGATCACCAGGAGGAGGAAGTGCAGAGGCTGGAGACCGCTGTGAAGGCCAAGGCCAAAGGCGTGAACGCCAAGAAGCCTTCGGTTACTGGCGTGGTAAACGCCTCAGCTTTTTGAGCTCTGACTCCAAACGAGTCCTGCCGATGGCTTTGCTGCAGGTCCCAACTGCGGCAACTGACAAGAAAGCGGAACAAGAGACGCTGGGATTCAGCAAGGGCAGTCGTAGGTTTTCGGCAGCTGCTCCTTGAAACCTAGGCTTTCGGCGTCTGCTAACTTGCTGCAAGCGAAGGAGGACGGGTCCCATGCCCATGCAATCTGGCGCATACCTAATCGCAAGAGTGTGTTACAAGCAGCGTGCCAGAAGAGGCCTGCGAGAGGGGCATGCCTGATCTGAAGCAGTGGTTTTTGTTGTTGATGCGCATGCATGTGGTGGCAGGACATGAAGAAGGCCAAGTTGGCTATGCAGGTTCGTCTGACTCAGGCACTGCGCATCCTGCGGGATAATTGCTCTGATGCGGGCATGGGAAGAGCTTGAGTGGAACCGCAGAGTAGCAGTAGACTGAGGATGCAACCTTTGTAAAAACAGCGTGCTAGTCAGACGCGGAGGGGCGCATGCAAGCTTGCTTTGCTGCACTGCTCTACAGGTGAAGGCCAACAAGGACTTCCAAGATGCTGCGCAGCAGCACGCGGACAGGGCCACCAACAAGTCACTAGTCAGCAAACAGCATGAAAACAGGCTGCTATGCCGCCATCTCTAACTTGCGTTGCGGCTGGCGGCAGGTTTCTGAGCGACTATAAGTCCGCAGACAATGCCAATACCGACAGGGGCAGAGCTGCCACGAGGACGTAAACATACTTTCAAAATGTTGCCATGGCTTGAGCAAAATTAGCTTGGGTGCTTTTACAGAAGCAGCTTTCACTAAAGTCCGTTTTTGTTCATTGCATCTTGTCGCAGTCCCTGATCTGCGAGGATGTTGACCTCGCTGTCAAAGTGCCGTGGCAGACAAATTTCTGGCAACAAAACTGAATGTGACAAAGCAGCGGAGGCAGTATGATTTTGAGCAGAAGCTTTAGCTAGCATCTTGGCCTGGTGGTCTCTTTGTTGCTGCCGTACTTAGGAAGCTCTCGATCAACAATACGGCCTCGGCAGCAAAAGCTAACACGGGCAACCCAAAGTCTGCTCCTCCGGCACCTCGGACCTCGGGCTTTGAGCCTTTGCACTGAACTCACCGTTGTGAATGTTGTGAAAGAGATGCGCGCTTTGCAGGCTGTCCCCATGGAAGAGCAGCTGCGCATCATCTTGAAGAAGGTCTTTCTGGGGGCCTTTCAGGGCTGGTTTCAGCTATGAGAGGGTGTCGACTCGGCAATCTGCCTTCCATTGCACGGCCGGAGGTGAAGAAGGCCAACAAGGAGACGCCTGCAGCTCTTTTTCGCAATCTGGGTGGCTGGAACGGGCCAGGCGCGATTTCGCCACTCGTTACTGGGCTTGTCAGATCAGACGGAAGGAGTGCACACGCTGATCATAATTAGCCACACCGAGCAATGTTCGCCGTGCTCAGGTGTTCACCAACTTTTTGCTGACGCATGCTCCAGACGTCACCCAAACACAAATTGGGGCTCTTTGGTGGAGAGCCGACACCAACGGTGATGGTCAGGCCGGCGATGTCTAAAGACGTCCCCAAATGAAGACACAAATGAAGCATCTTCCAAGAATCTTCAGCTTTGAGAAGCTTTGATTTGAGGTGGATCTGCAAGAGTTCAAGGACTTCTTCTCCAAGTTTGTTGAGGCTCACTCGGATCTTCGCCGGCGTATGCCCATAAATGCTTTTCCAGGTGGCGTGACGCGGCGTGGCCAATGAGGCTTGAACGGTGTCGCAGGCACCGGGCAAGCCCGTGGCAAGCCAGTGGGTTTCAGCTTCATCCGCTTGTGCTCGTCCGCCAAAAAAATCAAAAAATCCAGTGAATGTCAGGCAGACTGCGGTTTCGATTAAGATTCGTTTGCTTCCAGTCGCAATCTATGGGTGTGGCTCAAGCAACTCCAACGCTGTTGAGGTTGTGGTTGCCCTGGATACTTGATATGACTGTTTTGAAGCAACATGGGCCTGCATTGTCCGAAGTGAAGACCAGCAACAGCACAGAAGCTTGGATGCACAACTCTTTCGCTCGCAGAATACAAGTCCTCCAAAGCCAAAACCATTCGCAGCCAAGGCAGAGTCTAGCTCAGAGTCTTCAGACACACAGGATGTTATCCTGAAAGATCAAAACAAGGCAGGGGCTGATCATTCGGTCGCTCATGTAGCCATTGCAGCCGCAGCCCTGACAGGGCCTGACCGCTCGGTGCCCGTGGCTGATGGAGATGGTGGTGCTCAACCTGGCCACGTGCTGAAACATGTTTGGAATATTTTCGACTGAGCCTGCCAGCTAGACTTGAAGATGTTCCCTGCAGGTTATGATCATGTGGAACACGGACAACTGGGTTCTGCCCGCTGTCTACACAGATGCTTGACTCAGCAGCCCCAAAAAGACATGCAGATCCAAGGGCACGCTCACTTGTTGGGGTCTCCGTGCAAGCAGAAGGCCTTGTTCACTTCTTCCCTCGTGTGCTTCGCGGATCTTCGCGGAAGATTGCACAGGAGATTGCGCGGCACTTCAACGCCTCTCCTGGTGACCTCGCCTCCCTTGGTCTGGTGCGGGGCATCTTTGAGTCGACACCTAGCTGGACATCCCTTGCACAAGAAATTACGTGGATTCCGGAGCCCAAGGCAGGTGTCCGCCAACCCCCAAATGCATTAATTAGTATGCATCATGCGGTCTTGAAGTTGCGCCCACAAATAGCGCATTGCATTTGACAAGCCTAGATTCCACTAGAGGCGCCCATGCCTTCACTGCAGTGCGCTTGACAGAACATTCCCGTCCCCATCAACACTCCACACTGAGGGTCTTCGCTTTGCCCTCGGGCTTTCTGGCAGACAAGATGCCCAGAGCCCAGCAAGAAGTGGTTCGGGCAGATAGGCGGAGGGAGCCCCAGGAGAACGCAGGTTACGTGTGGTGTGGGATCTGGGGACGAAGCAGCTTGAAGTTCTCTAAATTTCTCCAGCTAGCAGCTAGCTGTTGAGGTAAGAGATGCCCTGCTACTTTCTTTGGACTTGAAATGGTCACGAGTCAGCTAGGTGAAGCCGAGGCCACGACCACTGCTGATTGGGCTTGGTGCCGTTCTTTGGGCTGCAGCGCTCGTTGGGGTCACCTTCTCCCCAAGTCTGAATTGGATGATCTTTTTCAGAGCTGCCTGGCTGCAACTTACTTCCATTTACTTCCAATCAAGGACAGGGTTGATAAAGATTTCGCAGGCGGTCAACGGAATTGGCCTTGGAATTGTGCAGCCCCTGCTGTACAGCCTGGTCGCAGACAAGAGCGATACGCACGGCAGGGGTCTTTGGGGAAAGGAGTCATTTGGAAAGGGATGCCTGCGTGCCCCGTAGCCATCTGCTTGCCAGCCCTACAAGCTTGGTATGCCAGGCCGTGGGAAAGCCTTCGGCTTCCTGCAATTTTCCGGCAATGTGGGACAAACAGAGACTTGGACTAATGGATACTTTTTGCATTTGGATTTGCATCTATGCCGGAAAGTATGAGGCCTTCACAGCATTGGCAACTGCCATCGCTGGCTACCAGATTATATCCATTACTGGGTGGCAGATTCTTGGCTGAAATGGAACTCGCATTTCCTCATTTTCTGTTGACAGCAATGATTTGAAATCAGGACCTGTTGAGAGCATGACTTTGGCTTCTGCACTGAAATAAAGACTTATGGTTGCTTGCCTGGCTGCGCAGCGTGAATATCCCTCAGGTTCAACAGACGCAAACCTGATAGGCTTCGCACTATTCAAGTCACCATGTAGCCGCTCATCATTGGCCCGACTAGCCTGGCTGGCTCCTGCGAGAATAAAGGTCTGCCTTAACCAGAACACAGCAGCTTCCCTGGTCAAGGTTTGCTTTGCTCATCGTCGCGGTGTTGAGTGCTGGCGTGGGCATTCTTTGCAGTGTGCTGGCGCGGCGTTGATGGGAAATCTCCAGATGCCGCTAAAACTGCTTAGACCGGACCAGCAATGAAGGTGAGCGACCATCGCGAGCACCATGACCATCGTAGCATGAGGGCCATCATTTGTGAAGAGACGTGCGCACCTGAGCATCCTGCCTAACGAGCGAATGGACGACGTAGATCGCAGTTGCCTAAGCTGTTATGTCTTGAGCATGTCTGTGTGGCCATCGAGGCCCAAACTTCAGCACATCGTTTGTATGCCAACATTTCTGGTCATCATTGGTCAAGGACGGCCAGATCTGAATGGCATGTGCTTGGTCATTGTGCTTTCTTGTCCAGGAGTCTTTGGCACCGCGCCGTGGTTTGCTTTCAGCTACCTTACGATGTGGCTAGAGCTCAACTGCTTCACGCATGAGCAGGCCTTTGAGGAGTCAAAGCTCAGCAGACTTCATCCTCGCAAGTAACGCAATCAGGCTGCTGCCATCATAGCTTGCTTCAACATCGGAGGGGCGCTTTCCGGAATCGTGGGAGGCGTGCCCAGCAAGTGACCAGCAAACCACAACTTGCTGTGAAAGCCAGGCGTGGCTTTGGACATCGTTGCAAGGCGCTTCCCAGAGCATGGGCCGCCAGGACATATAAATGCCAGCAATTGCGCTTGGAGGCAAAGCTGCGTTCAGAAGCAAAAATGGCAAAGCTGCAGTCGTATCTGCAGGACTTGCCCAACTGGCCATCTTCTTAGAGTTTTTCAATCTTGTGAAATTGTAAAGTGTGCGCAGACATCTGAAGGCGGTCTTCTTGTCGCTGCCACTGTTTGCAACGATTCTTTTCGGCCTGGGTCACTCACCGGCGTTTGAGCCAAGCAGCCAGGTTTGAATTCTCAAGATGCCTTGGCAGTTAAGGTGGCCTGGACCACCAGAGTCCAAGAACCTCTGTAATTTTTGGTTTAATCTTCCTCGTGACTGGCACCATGATCTCCTGGTGCATGGTGATGAACAATAAGATGTTCAGCGACATCGTCCCCAAGGAATCCTACAGCTATGTCTATGCTTTGGACCGGGCAGTTGAAGGCCCAAAGATCGTTGTGCCCGCTCTTCGCAAGTTTGCACGTGTCTGAGACAGGCACATTGGGAGCTTTGGGGCAACCAATTGTCGGCTGGCTCACAGATGCACAGAAAGCAATATGCGAGAGAGTGATTGGGCAAGCTGAACCTGCAAATGTTACACAAGGTTGGTTGGCATCTCAGGATACGATCTTCCATTTCGATACTGCAACTGCCAATACGAAGGACGTCAGACAGAGCCAAGACTTTGATGTCTGACAAATCCATCCAGATCTTCAAGGTTGGTCAGGTGGAGAGAATGACATGAAGGGAGAAATCGACAGATTGAGGTTGCAGATTCTAGACGGCATGAGTCAAAGGAGCCCGTGTATCTCTTACAGTGACCTCATGTACTGGAGTTGGAGTCTGGAGTGATGAGGAATGTCTTCATGGGGATCATACTTGCCTGAGACAAGTATTCAAGCCTTGTGAGCCCTTGGCGCCTGCAATGATGCTGGAAAACGATGGCCAAGACAGAAAGTAATTCTGAATACAAACGGCTGCGTGCCATGGGGTACCCGCACGCTCCGAGCAGGACATAGCAAGACCAAGCGTGCATTGGTTCATAGGGCCCTCCGGCACTCCTCAGGCACTGATGCCACTCAACTCTCAGGCTCTTGTACATGTTTCGTAGATTCTACGAGGTCCGAACCTTTTGCTCCGGTTCCACCTCCGCTTTGCAAACACCTTGCTGGACACATGCGGAACTTCAGAACAGAAGAATGAGGTCATTGGAATCCAAACCAATTTCGACAGGCTTGAGGCTGGCAAGCTCAGTAAAGTTGACGCATGAAGTGGCAGACGTTTGCTTGGAGGACTGTTCTCCAGATGACGCCATGAAGCTGGGCAAGGGGATATTTGTCGTGTCGGCCGTGGCTTTTACCGCCTGCTTCACACCTGCAGCAGATTATTCTGGCCAACTGAGCATATTGCTTGTTTGTGTCAGCAAAGGCTTCACGTTCTATGGCGTCGGCCACTACACCTACCCGAGGGACTGCCAGCTCAGCAGTTTGACTGGGAGTGTGTATGTGTTTCTTCCTTTGTTGCTGTGGTCCCCTTGCCCCTCAGAAGGAAGGAAGGAACAAAGGCTGCAGGAAGCTGGAAGGAGGGAGAGAAGGAAGGAAGGCCGGAGGAAGCCAGACCGAACGAAGGCAGGAGGGCAGGACGGATGGACGGACGGAAAGGAAGCAAGCAAGCAAGGAAGGATGGAAGCAAGGCGGACAAGCTGTCCCCTGGTCCTCTGGCGCTGGTCCTCCGGTCCCAGTCCCCTGGTCCTCTGGTCAGCCCGCTGGCAAACCCTAGCGGCCCTACCCAAACGATGATATGGGCGGGCAGCGGCAAACCCTGAAAGGAGATGTTGGTAGCAACCCTAAAAAGAGAAACTTGTTGACAAACCTTAAGCCTTAAGCCCGAAAGGAACATGTTTTCCGGCCAGCCCAAAACCCTCCAAGAAATGATGGGGAGATGTCGGCCGGCAAGCCCTGAACCAGGAATTAATGGAGACCCATATGATAAATCCTAGCATGACCTGCTCCACAAGCCTTGTGTTTGCAAATGGTGGGAGGTCGCGCCCACCCCGACCCCCGCTTGTTCTCTTCAGCGGTGCAACACTGCAGTACTTGCTGCAAGACCCATAATATGCTCCCCCCAAACCTCCCCCCTTTTTGTGCCTTGCAACCCTGCAGCCATTGTAATTGAAGCTGTGTCAGTACTGCCCGCATTTGTTGTATAATCCGCGTTCTCCTTAATTGTAGCCTTAGTGTTATTCTCCCAGTTATCTTTTTAAGTGCAACATATAATCATCATTTGCTAGTACGGTTCTAGTTATTCATACAGTTATGACGGTTATTACGTTTTTCAGTATTTACTAGTTGCCCATTGCGTCTATCATGGTCGTTATTATTTTCTTATCACTATTATTACATATTATTAC